ATATATATATATATATATATACATACATACATACATGTATTTTGTTTCCATTCTCAATACATGTCGTGCATTGAAAATGCTGCACCTATTCAGTATCTGTGCTAATAATATGTTGCCAAATGACACCTAATACAGCTTGTACAGGATAATCATTGACTAATGTTGTAAGTATTAGGAACATTATCTTTACATATCCTTTTCAAGCGATGTTTTGCATCACGCAAATTGAAATCCACAAAATACTAGATTGAAGTGGGAATAACATTCCGGTACATGCTGCTATTTTTTGGGGATCAAATTTAACTCTAGCCACTTGCACAAACTCGGACTAATGGTATGTTTTTTTTGTGTGTGTGTGTCTCTCCAACAAGTTTATTTACAACAAAAATATATTAAATTAGAAAGCCACAGGAAATCCATGAATGTGAACTAAATTGAGTGGATCACCTAACAAAAATGGACGGGAAAAAAAACCACAAAATATGGTCAGCTTTTTAAATTGATTGATAATACCAGGCTATGGTGGCCATTACCTTTGATTTCCACCCCTATGGCTTGCAGTGTTTTTCATCAGTATTTGGGGACATTGAACATTCAGTGCGATAACATGTCAGGTTGGGTAAAACATCATTTGTATTGGTATGTTTTGCAATTGTATTGAGGCTTATTCTAAAAAAGTTAATCTCCAAGTTATACAGGTTAACATTTTGTGAATATTTTTTTTTCTATGAAAGACCACTGTTAACATTTTATAAAATAAATAATTTAAGTCTGCTGTGAATTGAGTACGTAACTAAAGAGTACGGTAGTTTTTATGTAAATAATAATGAATAGAATAAAATATAAAATGGAAAAAATGTGTGAACCACTGGTTGTAGGGTACCGTATTTTACCACTGAATAATATCAATTTTGTAAAATTGAACAGACTGTACATATGATAAACTAATTCTATTGTGTTTCATAGCCGTAGTTTTGCCTTCAATGAGAATTAAATTCTGTTTAGAAGGAAGCTTTGTTTTTAATTGAGTACAGTCATCCTTGATATTGTGTAAAATCCAGTTTTTGGTATCGGCTTAGATGTTAGTTTGTCTGTGTGTGTGTGTGTGTGTGTGTTACGCTAATGTTTGTAAACAGCCAAACATGACTTTCCAGACGTACATCTGTTCATTATGAATTTTCATACCTAAACTAAATATTGTATATGACGCTCTGCCCTATTTATTGATTTTCTATTTTTACGAAGCCAAATATAGAGTTCCTATGACAGAGAGTTGCGACACGAGCGGTTCAGGTCACGTGACTACGGACGCCCTCAATCTGTCATATTGGGACCAACAACCCAAGTCAGTGATGCATAACC